GTTCAACACTTAACATAAGTACTAGTGTAATCCTTCAGTCAAAGACCAACCGAATCGAGAAAACACTACAGTCTTTTTCCAAGTGGGGTCTCACTGTCAGTCTAGACTGTGAACGAATAGTTTAGTCTTATAAGGAACCGATAGGTGATCTTTCTGTTCGAAACTCTTCGAACCACACTATCTCAATATAAGACATGGAGTATGTATTGCATAAATAAATAAACTGCAAACATATGTACTTTGACCGAAACATGATTGCCAGATCAAAATGGAATTGATAGAATCTGCAAAACATAGCTTTTACAGCATACCTCTAACAAGCACAATAGTAGCAACGCGAAGGGAAAGAAAACCCACTCGCCTGCATCACAATATCAGTCGGTAATCGGCGCAGAAGAAGGCGCCATAGGAAGACAGAGATGGTCGGGGTGAACAGATCTGTCCAGATGGCCCCAAAACAAAGGTTAGGCTGGTCACCCAGCCGTACTTCCCCCCAAGCCGAGGTGGTAGAGAATGCACCCGAAGATGTAAGTCTCCACCTTATACCGTCCTCCGAGATGGGTATTTGCTGGAGCTGATCTATAACCTGGTCACTAAAGCCCACTCCAGTACCCAAAATCCTCTCCAACATATCCCTAAAATACATATATATCTAGAAGGTTTCGGCTGTTCACCGCTAAACCGATCGTAATACGACTTATATTTACTCTTAACTTTATTAATTAATCGATGATTATGAGTTTTATTTTTGTATCTTTTGTTAGCAAATTTTCTGACATGACTATTGCATTCATACATAAATTAGGTTTAGTTAGTTCTCGATCGAAAAAAATCAACTCTTCTGAGAAAACCTTAGAAAATCTTATAAATTTCGTCCTATCTCTCCATTTCTATGCATATGAAAACTAGATATCTTATCTATATATATTGAAAAAAAGTAAAAAAAAAAATCATTTAGGGAAACTTCATAAAGAAAGTGAGTCAACCCATTTGACTTACTACTTATAGAAAATTGTTTACAAATTCCAATGAAATAAAAAAAGAAAAAAAAGGTTTTCCAATCCTAAATTGATGGGATTTGTTGTGGATTTAACTTAATTCACGTAATTATTGGATATCAAAATCAGATCTAAACTAATTCTAGCATCTCTCCCAAAATTGGATCCCAACTAATTCGTTCTATCTCTCTCAAAATCATATCCAAACAAATCACACCGAAAATAATTCTTCCAAAACTAAATCTCCTAAAATCAGTGCAAACAAATTAATCACATCCAAAATAATTCTCTCAAAACCAAATTTTCCAAAATCAGTCCAAACAAATCACATCCAAATATTTCTCCCAACAATAAAATCCAATTTGTTTCTCCAATTAGGTCTCGACATGAGGATATAGGCATGGCAGAGCTTCATCTGGTATTTATGGTGAAGGAGATGGGGGTGGCGTTGCCGCTGGATGAAAAGGACGACAGGTTCGTGGCGACGGCGGAGCCGGAGAATTGGGTCATGGAGTTGATGGACTCGGAGGCAAACCCTTCTTCGTTTCTGCTTCTCATGAAGGATGTTTAGATCTATCACTGCATCATAGGTAAGAATTCGTTCTTTCTCTTCATATGCCCTATTTTTTGTGCATTTTGTGCGTGTTTCTGTGGTTGTGAAAAAATAATGTCGAATTTGTTCGTGCAAGATGTAAATAAGGATGGTTTAGGCATAAATTGGCCGAAGAGTTTCGGCTCGAAAAAGGCGACTCGAGGGCCTTCGCAGGCCGCGTTGAGGCTGCTTCGCGTGTGGGTTTGAGGGTCGGGAGTATGCGATGGGCGGACGGTTGAGCTTCACTATTGGAAACTCGCGGCCAGTGGACGTGTGTTGCCTTAGGACCCGTGTATTGCTGTAGATTAAGAAGGGGTGTGTTGGGTGTGAACACCGTACGCTGCTGCTCATTTTTCCACCGCCATCTGCAATATGTTATCTTACCCATCCGCCGCATAATTTGATTTAAAAGCCCAGAGCGTATAGGATCAATGTAAGTCGTCCATTTGGGTGTTCTTTGTTTTTGTTTAATTTGATTTATTGTTGTGCTTTACTTGCTTTATTGATGGTTATGCTATCATGGAGTATAGTAACTCAATGATCGTGCTTGATTCTTTGATGCTGTAAATTTTTTAAATATTTAATGGTGTCTCCTTAGGGTTGTGTATTGAAGCATACGAGGAATTAAGAGAAAGGAATATGGAACTTTTGCATTTGATGCTTACATATCTAAAACCGTCTTTCATAAACCTATGTGTCAACTGGATTGGTTTTTTGTAAAATGAGTGTTTTGAATATTCAACTGGTGAAAATTCGTGGTGTGCTAATAATTCTAAAAAATTCGTGACCAGTAGATGTCCGTGTATTTGATGGAATTATATCATGCAAGATATTTAAAATTTAGATGTACATTATATTTGAATACTTGACAGTACATTATAGTAATAATACTTAGTGGTTTATTTAACATTCTGAAAATGCTTTTCGATTCTCATTGTCTGTAAAAATATGCATTGTGTTTGTAGATTCTTTCAAGTTTATCTTTAATTTTTCTTGGGCTGGTTTCTGGATATAGAATTTGAAGTTGCATAATCTCCATTAAACTTGCAGAAACGTGTATAATAGAGCTATCCAAGGAACACATCACAAAATATTTATGGCAAGTTGGAGGAGCACGTGAAGGTTTCATTTCTTTCATCATGGAAAGAAGTGTTGTGCAGAAAACATTTAGAAGAGGGAAAAGTCAGCGTTAATGTCATTGGACACTAGTAGAAAAAACACTTTTTACATCGGGTGTTCACATCGGTTTTTTCAAAACCGATGCAAAAAACACTTTTCACATCAGGTGTGACATCGGTTTTGTAAAAACCGATGTGAATTGTCATCCGGCGCATCGGTTCTTATAAAACCGATGTGAATAATTTTGTAGGAAACATTGTTTACATCTGTTCTATGGATAACCGATGTAAAAAATATAACATACGACATCGGTTGAGGAAAATCGATGTATGGGCCTCTGCATAGACATCAGTTTCAATACAACCGATGTGTAGGCCGGTTTATATAAGATACATCGGACCAAAAAAAACGATGTGAAAGAGGCCCAAAATCGATGTCCAAAAAAACCCAAAAAGTGATATGCATCAGTTTTATTTAACTGATGTAAAGTTAGCCAAAACTGATTTCCAAAAATAATTTTAAAGCCCGCCAATCGATCTCTTTTCTCAATCCCTCAAAAATAAAAACTAATTCATGTAAACCCTCCCCCGTCCAAAAAAACTTTTCATCGTCCCTGCATCTACACGGCCTTTAGTCGATCGCACGCCCAGCGCACCTTCACGGCCTTCTCGTCGTCCCCACACCTCCACCGGGCCATCCACAGTTTGTTGACCGCGACCCGAGTGACCTCCTTCGAGCGACAGCCGTCCGTCGACTGCCTGCAGTTGTCCTTCGACCGCTGCTTGCCGTTCTTTGGTAAGACCTATATTGTGTTACAATCTTTTTTTCAATTGTCAGCCTGCAGTCGGCTTCTGAGTCCGTTAAGTTACAGAAACTCACCGATTCGGATTCCGGTAAATGTTCATGTTATCCGATGTATGCTTAGTTTCCAATTTCTGCCTAATTTTAATTGATGATTTATCGTGCAGTGTTTGATCATAGAGTTTTTTTGGCTGTTTTTGCATTCCTAGTTTTGTGATTTGGTCTGGTTTTGGTTTAAAAATCTTTTGATGTCCGTTACTGCCCATTTTTTGTGAACTTGGGGGTTATTGAAATCTGGGTGTTTGGGCTTTGGGTTGAAATCTGATTAGAAAGTGTGTGGATGCTTGTTTGAGCTTGGCCGGAGTTGTTAAGGAAATAGTGTATGGATGTGGTTTGTTACACGTAGTCAATGTGTGCCGACTGGCTTGAACCAAATAAATGATTTCAGCTGAAGTAGTTTTATGTCTAAACCAGTGACTGTAGTTTCTCCGCTTCGATGCATCCCCTTTCTAGGAATTCACTCCGAGATCGATTCGTTTGGTTTAATTTTCTTAAACCAGAAGTTGTTCAGAATAGAAACTTTGACACCTAGGTTTATTAGATTGCAGCCGATCAGTTTAATCATTCCTTTCTCGTTTTGAGCTGCGTTTGTATTCATGGACCGGATATAATTAGGAATCGCTTCGATAGCATTTCTTTTATGGTAAAAGAGTTTGAAAAAAATCGTATCTTTATCATGTGTTTTAGGGATTAAATTTGCTGATGAGTAGAGTCAATGCTTATTGTGAACAAGGGTTTTCGTAGAATCTTGGAATTTCAGTAGATTGTGTAATTTAAAGCAGGGAAAGTAGTGTTGCAGGGCTCATGGGGGCCAATCATAGGGAACAAAAGCTTCCTTATAGCTGAAAAGCCTATGGATTTATATGGTAGTGTTAGCTGTTTCTGAGGTATTTTTTCTTGCCCTTTTTTGCTAAACCTAGAAATGTGGCTAAAAGATCTGTTTTTTGATTCGATTTATATTTGTGATCTTGAATTGGGTTTTCTTTTTTCCTTTTTCTTATGAATACTATGTAGGACTGATTAGTGATTACTCGTCCTGGCCGTTAAAAATTATCAAAAGTTAAGATATTTGCAAAAAAATAGGTTAAAAAAAAAAACAGAGAAATTTGTATTCATTGGCTTTCTTCAATTGAACTAGGAAATGGTGTGATTTTGGTTCAAGAACTGTATCAGGCTTATCACTTTCATATCATCAAGAAAACACTATGGCGTTGTAACTTGATGTCGGCATACATACCTAGCCGAAACATTGCGCGAAGAAAGGACACAATTGCGCGAAACCATTGTGATACTAGCATTATAAAAAAGAAACAAGACCCTCTTTTAGCTCAGTGAATGAAAAATAGCAGCAAGATCAGGTCATTATTTACATTAGCATTATCTCAAACATCTAGTGCACACTATATGACTGTCTAACATTATGTATAGTATGACTGTCAAACATATACTTTAAATAATAATACAAACAAAAATATAATATTATGTATAGTATGAACATGATTTTTTTGGAATATATATGACTGTCTAACATTAGGTAGCCTAACACCATATCTATTAAAGTATATATTCAGGAAGTTTTTTATTAAAAATTTAATTGTACATACAGAAAATAATTTAAGAAAACTAAAATTAGCAAAGTCTAGATAAACAAAGCCCTACATTTTGTTACTATGAGGTTAAAAAACCAAAAGTCCAAACTGTATAAACCATTTAGACAATAAAATGAAAGGGAAAAAAGAGGCAAGATTAAGATCAAGAATAATTTGAAGCGATTATTACAAATTGGGTTAGATTTATAGACATTTAATTTTTTTACTATCTTAATCTGGGCTAAAATACAAGAAAGGAGAAATTTTACACAAGAAATATATGGGTATGTAAGAGGCACACGTGTAGCCTACCCAGGCTACAGCCCAGGCCAACTTGTATGTCCCTCCGCCTCTGCCTGTAGTCTTGTAAAATTGATATATACTGGATTGCTGATTTCCCTATTAATTTGCCTATGGCGAAAGGTGATTGTGGTTTTGATAT